TAATAATAATAATAATAGAGAGCAGAAGAAAGCAAGGAAATATGTGAATAGTAGAATTATAGTCCATAAGGAAAAGATACAGAAATATAGATAGATTAATAAATAGAGTATGGAAAGATGAATAAAAAACAAAATAGATAGTTGGAGAGTTTCATCGATAGATAAATAGAAATCACGATAGATGTATCGAAATGTAGAATATTGAAATATTCAGGATAGGTACTCAGGATATAAGGATAGGTAATAAGTATAGGTGCTAAGATATAATTGGAATGATAGAAGGAACAAAAGGCAGATGTATGCTAAATAGATAATTCTATGGACAGAAGATTAAATAGAAAATAAGATAGATAAGCCGGATATCCAGTTGGATTCATAAACAATTGGAAATAAAGACAGCTAAATATATATGTATTTGGAGGACAAAAGACAGGTGGATTGACAGATGGAACAATAGAGAACTAAGTCGGCTGATAGATAATCTAATATCAATCAAAAACAAATATTAAGATAAACAGAGAGGCCGATACAGAGATACTAGATAGATAGATAGAGAATTTTCGATAGATCCATTTTAGATAGCCAACTTATTATTATTAGATAATTATATTATTACTACTGATAGGGATATTACCTATATATACCACATACAATGTCTATAAATTCTACGGAAAATGTCTTTATCTATGCATGGCGCACGTATTTGAAATTACGTTTCTATTTTGGGAACAATTGTAATTAGCGGAAGTTTCCTTTATTAGCGAGCGATCACTGTATACTGAAATTTCTTTTGCTCTGCTTCCCGCCGTCTCTCGCCCCTATCTTTCTCTCTGTCTGTATATTACCGCTGTGCTCCTCGCACCGAAACATTTGACGTCATTTGCAAAAGTTGTGCGAGGCGATAACGAAGCAACAGCCACAACCACAATTGGGAACCTTGGAACATCGACGTTGTATGCGGCACCTTTTGTATGTTGTGCTTAGTATGTATGTAAATATGTATATATAAGCGTGTATGTGTTCCCCGCATATAGGACACAATATGGCGACTATAAGTAGGCCGATCGATATGGAGACCTCTAGATATACCGGAACCAGCTCACTGCAGCTGCAGAGAAAGAGAGGCAAAAGAGAGAGAGAGAGAGGCGCATCAGACACATTGGACGGACAGACGGACTGACTGAGTGCAGCTGGACACAAGTTTAAATATTCGCATGAATACAATATATATATT